TCCATAGCAGATCCAAGAACGGGGAGCTAAGGGAGGAGGCCACTCCTGTCATTCCAGTTTTAGAAGCTCCACGTCGAAGACAAGAGTGGCATGTGGCGGGATGATTCCTGGGTGCCCAGTGGAACCATAGGCATAGTCTGGGGAGATAATCAGTTTGGCTCTCTGACCCACACTCATGTGGGCTACCCCTTCTTCCCAGCCTCGGATCACCTCCTGCTTGCCGAGCATAAACTTGAAGGGCTTGTTTCTGTCACGGGAGGAATCAAACTTCTTGCCATCTTCAAGCATCCCGGTGTAGTGCACCACGCAGGTCTGGCCACGCTTCGGGAATGTGCGCCCGTCTCCTGGAGAGATGGTCTCCACCTGCACTCCCATGGTGACAGCGGGCGCAGGGCGGGCGGCGCGACGGACGGCGTGGACAGAGAACAGACCGGGTAGCGGTCGCGAGGCTCCGCTCTGCTCCCGACAAGTCAGAATTGAAAGGTGTTGGGCCAGGGATATAGCTCAGCAGCACAGCACCTGCCTGGCAAGCGTGAGGCTGTGAGATTGATACCTAGTACCAATAAAAAAGGAATCTAGAATTGAGAAGTGTTAGTGACAGTACATTACATGCTGAATTTCAAAGATGAAAGAATGTAATTACAAATATATCATCAAAATTACTTTTACTTGGGGGCCAGGGAGTTGGCTTAGTAGCACAAGGGCCTGAGTTCAATCCCCGGTTCTGCAAAAAAAAAAAAAAAAATTTACTGGTTTCTGGTTTTTTTGAGACAGGGTCTTCTTGTGCAGTTCAGGCTGGTCTTGAACCTAATGTGTCACCTGGCCTCTTTTTAAAAATGGCTCTTTAGGAGCCAGGGAGATAGCCAGGGCCTGAGTTTAATCCCTGGTTCCGGGGGAAAAAAAAAAGAAAGAAAAAAAAAAAGTGGTTCTTAAAAAATTTTTTTAAGTTGTTTATGTGATTTGTATCCCATTTTTATTGAGCAATACTGATGATAGTGATTCAGACAAAAATATTAATAACTGAGAAGAGAATTTTAAAGTAAATTCATATTTGATTTAGCTTTTAGAACCAAAGGTAATACAGAGATTGGATCTTGCTGTAGACAGCTGGTCTTTCTAAAAAACTTGCAGAAATGGAGTTTTAAGATGTTATTTCCTGCCACAGCAACCATTGAAAAAGAGTAGCCATGGCCCTCCGCTATCCCATGGCCGTGGGCCTCAACAAGGGCCACAAGGTGACTAAGAATGTGAGCAAACCGAGGCACAGCCGCCGCCGCGGACGTCTCACCAAACACACCAAGTTCGTGCGGGACATGATCCGGGAAGTGTGCGGCTTCGCCCCCTATGAGTGGCGCGCCATGGAGCTGCTCAAGGTCTCCAAGGACAAGCGCGCCCTCAAGTTCATCAAGAAAAGAGTGGGGACGCACATCCGCGCCAAGAGGAAGCGTGAGGAGCTGAGCAACGTGCTGGCCGCCATGAGGAACGCAGCTGCCAAGAAGGACTGAGCCCCTCCGGAATAAAGCTTTGCAGAAAAAAAAAAAAAAAAAAAAAGATGTTATTTCCTGAGAGATTTAAATGGCCATTTATTGTAATATTCTTCTTTTTTTAAATCAGGAATTGAACTTGTGACCTTGCACATGGTAGGCAGGTGCAGTGACGCTAAGCTGTATCTCCTGCTCAGTAATATTCAGTTGAGGATGGCTCTCCCAAACATTGCTCTGCTTTATTGCTTTTCTATATATTTTGTATCAGTAGTTAATGATCTGTAAGCATACAAGTTTTTCAGGTAGTTAAATATACATAGGGAGCTGTACAAACCTGATAAGATAAGGATAATCACACTCCATTATCTCTTTCTAAAAAATACAACATTTCTTTAAAAGAATAATTCTTGTAGACTCTAGTAGTTTAGGGTAATGTCACTTTTAGAAGTCTCAATTATGGATACAAAGGGTCTTTAAGTAATCAGACTCTTGGGCTTGTGTATAATTCCTCTTGGGAATATTTGGTTAACTTGAGACTGAAATTTCTCGTGATTCCCTAGAATTCAGTGACCTTCTACACCTAATAAACACAGAGCTTATAGATTACCTGTTGCCCTAGAGTGACAAGGCGGAGGTTTGTTTTCTTCCTCGCAGGTGGCACATTTCCTTGAAACACTTTACCTTTTAGTTCAGAATTAAGTTTTTGTCCATTTATTCATCTCTCTGGTCTTCAATAATTTATTGAGAGCTTAGTATTGTATATGCCAGATGTCAGACTGTATGCCAAGGATAAAAAAAAAAGGTGAATGATTTCCACCCTTAAGGAGAGAGCGGGAAAATCCGTAATTAAAATACAGTGTGATAAATTTAGGTACAAGAAGTTATCCAAGTTTGGAGAAAATAAATTTAGTACTTCATTTGTAACAAAAATACTTTAGACTTAGTAGCTCACTGACATACAGTTGTCTCTTGGACTATGAAAGACAATAAAAAATTATTGAGAAAACTTTTTGTAACATCTTTTCCCTGATTACTGTATATGTGTATGTGTGTGCTTCAACTTTAAGCAAATACATTAAATTATATAGTTCACCCATTTTAAAAATGCATTCTAGGCATGATAGTGGACATCTGTAATCCCAGCTTTTCTGGAGCCTTAGGCATGAGGATCACAAATTCAAGTCCAACCTGGACAGCTTAATGATTTTAGTCTTAGGATTTTAAAAGGACTGGGATGTCATTCAGTGGGAGAACACTTGCCTAGTATGCACAAGCTCAGGGTTCAATAATCCCCAGAGCTATATACATGTGCACCAAAAATGTCACAATTGTATTGAATGAATGTCTATTTTACCACTTTCGCATGTCTATTTTACCACTTTTGCATAAATTCATTTTAATAAGCTGTTCTAGCACATTAGAATAATTGGATTTACAGAAATTAAATGCATGCACATTTTAGAAAATCATCTTACAAAAGATCCCTTTGCTTCTGCTTCTATCTAGGTAATTGTGATTATTGCTTTGGGTTTGATAACTTTTTTTTTTTTTTGCCAGTGTTTGTGGTATTGTGGATCATGGCTTTGCTTTGGACATGGTAGGCAAGTACTCTACCACTGAGCTGTGTCCCCAGTCCCTGATAATTTTTTTTTTCCTGATAATTTTTTCTAGGCAATTTTCATGTACCTTTTTTCTTTCATATTCTCTGTAGTGTGTTTAAAGTAAAGGAGCTAGATAAAGTGAATAATATCAGGTTAAAGTTAGAATATGAAGAGAGAAATTCAAGTCTTTTTTTTTTGACAATGAGAAAGAATTTTTATTTGAGAATTGTCTTGATGATTTTTTTAATTTTAGAGCAAAAAAACCCCAATAAACATGATACAGAATTTCAAAAGAAGTTGACATGAAATTAATAATGGTTATTATATTGTGTATTATTTTCAAAGTAGTTGCTCAAATTATCAGATATAGACATTCAAAATTGATCAAACAGTATAAGCACTATTACTTTCAATGAACTAATAGAAATTAATACTACAATTATCTATCCTTTTCCCTGTCTTCCTTCTTTTCTCCTTTCCCCCATCGCAGTTGTTCTTTCCTTTTGAGCATTCTCTTTTCCTCTCATAATAACTATTGTACCTCTTGGATCTTATTTACTCTTTCAGTTTCTTACATTAAGAGACAATACAATGTTTGCACATGTGTTTTATTTCACTCAAGCAATAACCTCAAGATTCATCCATTTACCTACAAAAGCCTGAAATTTACTTTTTTTTTTTTCATAATTTTATTGAGAAACAAATAGCAATGAGTTTCAAATCAAATTGGTAGGACAGTTTCAATAGTTAACACATTGCATACATTCTTCCTAGTGGTTAATTGTTGTACAAGATGCGGACATGATATTCTATTTACAAACACCATTAGAACAAATCCCTCTATTCAGTAAGAGAATGTAACTATATATCTATCCTAGCCACTTTGAATACACAGATACAAAATGGATATTCATCTGTATCCCCTTTTTTTGTTAAGTTCCGTTATTTGAATATTATAGGTGTGTAAACTCAGCAAACTATTCTGAAAGAGTCCAGTAGCCCATAATAATATTGGGTCTTCGAGAAATTCAAGTCTTTTTTTTTTTTTTTTTAATTTTATTTATTTGTGTGTGTGTGTGTGTGGCCAGCTCAGCCCACCAGGGGGCGGGGCTGGCTGGCATGTGGTGCTGGGGGATTGAACCGCAGTCCCTGTGCTTTGCTAAGCTTGTTCTAAGTAGGTGCTTTAGACCACTGAGCCATCTCACCAGCCCTGAAATTCAAGTCTTGAACAGAACTGTTGCTGGCAAGGTCCTGAACTGCATTTTTCTTTGGAGAGCACTTTCATATTGGGTTCAGTTTATAGGCTTATATGCCTAAAAAATGCATATATATAGTGCAGTGCTACTAGCTATGCAATAAATTGGGTGTTTTGGTTTTTGGTTTTGGTTTTTATCTTTTTGAGACAGGGTCTCACTATCCTGTTCACTCTGGCCTTGATCTCACTTTGTAGCCCAAGCCAATCTCGTATTTGTGATGATCTTCCTGCTTCAGCCTACAAAGTGCTGGGATTACAGGCATGTGTGACCACACCCAGCTTAATACAGACTTATTAAATAAAGTACTCTGAAATCTGACTCTGCTTTTGACACTGAACCTGGTACAGTAATTTCCTTTTGGGCTTTTAAAATTCCGATGCACTCTAGCAGCAGGTTCTTAAATATTTTGATCTGAGGACTTTATAATTTTAAAAGTTATTGGAGACACCAAATAATTTTTGTTCAGTTTATATCAATATTTCCTGTATTAAAAAAAATTAAAACTGAGTAAACTTCAAATGTGTAGTTGTTTAAAAATAATAATAGGGCTGGGGATGTGGCTTGCGTGCACAAGGCCCTGGTTTGAGATCCCTGGTACCACACCCACACAAAAAAAGTATAAACCCAGTACATGGTAACAAAAACTTTTTTTTTTTTTTTTTTTGTGGAACCGGAGATTGAACTCAGGCTCTTGCGCTTGCTAGGGAAGCGCTTATTCCACTGAGCCATCTTGAGATCCCAGCCCAAAAACAACATTTTAATAGAAAATACTTTATTTTTTAATAAAGTTGAGGTCAGCTGGGCATGGTATCATAAGCCTGTAATCCCAGTACTCCAGAGGCTGAGGCAGGAGGGTCATTGCAAGTTTGAGGGCAACCTGGTCTTGAGTTCAAGGCCAGCCTGAACTGCATAGTGAAACCCTGTCTCAAAAGAGGCTGGGGAAATAGCTCGGCAGTCTAAGCGCCTGCCTAGCAAGCTCAAGGACACAGGTTTGATCTCTGGTACCACATGCTACACTGGCCCTGGAACCCCAGGTACCGGTATAGGCCACTAAAAGCAGGCATGGTGGCACATGCCTGTAATCCCAGTGCTGGAGAGGCTGAGACAG